GTCATTGTTGTTTGGCGGGTCCGGGCTGGGGATTCGAACCCACCACCTTAGGTGTATGTGGCTGGTGCCTTAGCCGGTTGAGCCATAGGCGCTGAGCCAGAGTTCAGGCTTCTTAATATATGCATTTGCTCTTTTAACTCAGAGAACCTCAACTCTGGAGCACATTACAATCACTTGGGGAGCTTTCAAAATTAACTTATGCTCAGCTTGGTGCTTGTAACTCAATGGTTAGGGCACTAGCCACAAACACTGAGGCAGGTGGGTGTGAACCGGGCTTGGGCCTGCTAAACAATGACAACTGCAACAAAAAAAATAGCTGGGCACTGTGGCAGGCGCCTGTGGTCATAAGGCTGCTTGAGAAGCTGAGACAAGAGAATCGCTTAAGCCCAAGAGTTTGAGGGTACTGTGAGCTGTGATGTCACAGCACTCTACTGAGGGCAACATAACGAGATTTTGTCTCAAAAAAAAGAAAAAAAAATTAACTTATGCTTGGGACTCACCCTGGAAAATAAACCCCACAGAATCATTCCCAGTGGACCAGCATATGAGTAATTTTAAATAACTGCTCAGCTGAAACTATAAAACCCTTATACATGACACTGAAAACACAGGCACTAACCAAGAAAAAACAGGTAAGTTGGACTTTGTAATAGACTCTCAGTTGGAAAAACAGATCAAGGTAATCCGGAAGGGAAAAGGACAGACACCAGAAAGTATGAACATGACCAACTGCCATTCTCATAAAAGACATCCCAGAATAACAACAAGAACAAAGAGGAGGAAAACACAGGGAAGATAAATTCTCCTAAAAAAAAAAAAAGATGAAAAACCTCCTAAGTAATAGAAGTGGTTCTGAGAGAATCAAAGCAGAAAGGAAGGAAAAACCCACAAGTAACAACATTATAGTGGAATTCAGAATGTGAGAGACAAAAGATTTTTACTGGAGTATTTGGCACAAAGCAGCTATACAGTAAGTTTTTATAGAAAAATCAACCAAAACATAAAGACATCATCAAAACTTTATCAGGTAGTTATTATATCAGATCCAATTATACTAGGGAAAAAAAATTACACTGATTAAAGATTCACGGTAAGAACAGAAGGAGAACATCTGAGCATTAGTCAATGCTCTGTCCTCTCAGAGCACAGCTGACATTAGTCCCCGGCCAACTGAGGCACTACCGGGCTCTTCATCTGAGTTTAGGCTATTATTTTTAGGAAAACCTAAAACCTCTACCTGATCTTGGCTAGTTTCCCTGCAGTATTTGAAGTACAACATGTTCAACTGTCCTTTCAATACATCTTGGTTTGTTGAAGCCTGAAGAGCTGTGGAGATGAAGAGGACTGTCAGACAGTCTCAGTTTTCTAAATATTAACACGCAAAGGGGGTTCTCATAAACATGTTCTCTGGCAAGGAAATGTTCTGTATTTTTCTGTTCATTCTTTGCAGCAGGTAGGCCAGGGGCTCATAGAAGTTACTCAGTAATGGCTTACCTGGTCAACATCTGCATTTCTTGGAAGAAAATAAATAATATTATTAGTGATCTTCTGGGAAAGTCTGAAAATTTCAAAGGTGGAGAACAGTTAAAGAAAAGTAACAAAACAAAAACAGTGGCTAATTTCTGATCAAAAAGAGATGTTCTTTCCTTATCATAACCCAAATGTATCTCGATATATAACAAAAAGGCACAAATTTAAATCCTCTATTGCAGTGGTTCTCAACCTTCCTAATGCTGCGACCCTTGAATACAGTTCCTCATGTTGTGGTGGAACCATAAAATTATTTTCGTTGTTACTTCATAACTGTAATTTTGGTACTGTTATGAATCATCATGTAAATATCTGATATGCAGGATATATTTAGGCGACCCTGTGAAAGGGTCATTTGACCCTCAAAGGGAACACGACCCACAGGTTGAGAATGTCTGCTCTAATGAAACCTAACCATAAATTAAGTAAAGAGATTTGGTCATTCAGCAATAACTGTTCCTGATACATCAAAAATTAAGAGGTTAGACATATTTATTCAATTACCCTAGAGGTAGGCAGCCAAGAGTCAAACATACACACTCTTTCTTTTTGCCATTTCTAAATTACTGAAAACATAGAGTAGGAAACACGAAGGGACAATACCGTTTCTTTCCAGTCAAGAATAAAAACAGGTAACTCTGGCCACCTGTAGCCTATATTCTAAATTGTAATTAGCAATTTAGAAACATGTTTCCTGAAACATGGGAAGTGATTCTTCTGGGAAGTGTCAGGTGAAGAAAGGAATAAATAATACATGTTATTCTTTAAGAAATAGGATTTGCTTCAGTATCTTAGAGGAGTAACAGAAAAAATTTGAAGGCTCACCTCCTGTAGCTCAAGTGGCTAAGGCATCAGACACATACACCAGAGCTAGGGGTTCGAATCCAGCCCAGGCCTGCCGAACAATGACAACTACAACCAAAAAAGCGCTGGGTGTTGTGTCAGGTGCCTGTAGTCCCAGCTACTTGGGAGGCTGAGGCAAGAGAATTGCTTAAGCCCAGGAGTTGGAGTGACATCACGGCACTCTACCTGGGGTGATAGCTTCAGGCTCTGTCTCAAAAAAAGAAAAAATTTCAAGATAATACAGCAAATTAACATGAGTCAGTATAAGTCAAAGTAATGTTATGGGATGGTCACTCACAGACTCTAAGGACAGAATTTGAGAAAATTCTCAATTTTCAGACAATAATTTCAAGCAATTTATGCATTTTAATTGTTTCACATGGGTAAAACTGGATAGTAATCAGGGGAAATACAACCTCACACTGGCCATTACTTCTGGAGATCAACCAACAAATTAATTTTTACAAAACCTGCTTTTTATATGTCAAATAAACTAGAAACAAATGATATTAGCTAATCTATCTCTCCTCTTCATTAATTTCTCTCTCTCACATACACCTCCCATTCCCTTCCTCACAACACCATTGTTTAAGTAAACTTAGAACTTCCAAAGGATATCCATCAGGAGACATCATCGTCCTAATGTCAAAGGTCTTTGCGGTGGCGTAGTCTGGCCCTCCCCAGGGTGGGCTGAGGAAAACAACATCAGCCTTTAAACAAGAAGCCAGGAGCAGGAAATCTCCACAGATGAACTCGATCTTATCTGCCACACCATACACTTCTGCATTATTACGAGCAAGATCAATCTTAACAGGGTCGATATCAATGGCAATCACTAAAAATGGGAATAGAAAAATGAGTCAACTGATATTTATTTATACAAGACTGTTATACCAATATTCTGTTATCTTCTGTATAAGGATCACTTTCAAAGACCAAGAGGTACTTAGTCATATATACCAGAGATGAAAACTTCAGCTAAATTTTTTAATTTAAATTAGAAAGATGCACTTGTATCAAACCAAGAAAATGTGACTTAAAGACCTGGCTTTCTAAGTTGTCTCACTTAGATAGCTTTATCTAAGCAAGTGGTGAAAGCTGTCAAAAATTATGTACTGAGGGCCAAATACAGGGTACAGCCTGAGTGGCAAACCTTGAAGAGGTCACTGACTACATGTAAAGCCTATAATGCTAGGTTTAAGAAAAAACATATTTCCTCAAAATGGGGCAATGCCCGAATAAAGACACATTTCACATTTTCCACAGAAAACTAAAACAAAACACATTTTGAAAAACCTAGATAGTCAGCCAAAAGAGTTGGCTCACGCCTGGAATCCTAGCACTTTAAGAGACTGAGAAGGATGGACTGCTTGAGCTCCCGTTTGAGACCAGCCTGAGCCAGAGTGAGACCACGCCTCTAAAAATAGCTAGGTGCTGTGGCAGACACCTGTAATCCCAGCTACTTGGGAGGCTGAGGCAAGAGAATCGCTTAAGCCCAGGAGTTTCAGGCTGCTATGAGCTGTGACACTGTGGCACTCTACAAAGTGAGACTCTGTCTCAAAAAAACAAAAACAATAGGTTGGCACCTATAGCTCGAGCAGCTAAGGAGCCAGCCACATATACCAGAGATGATGGGTTTGAATCTAGCCCAGGCCTGCCAAATGACGACAACTACAACCAAAAAATAGCTGGGTGTTGTGGCAGGTGCCTGTAGTGCCAGCTACTTGGGAGGCTGAGGCAAGAGAATCACTTGATCCCAGGAGTTGGAGGTTGCTGTGAGCTGTGATGCCATGACACTCCACCCAGGGCAACAACTTGAGGCTATCTCAAAAAAACAAAAACAAAAACAACCCCCCCCCCAAAAAAAAACCTAGATAGCCAAATTATGAAGAAATGTAAAAACAGCTGCTGCTGATATTTAATGAGACAGTTTAGGCAGAGGGAAAAGACAATATTACGTTTTATTACCAAATAGACTTTGGTTTAATTCATTGCAGTTTCATAATTAGCAATGCAAACATAAGTTAACTTCAGCTCACTGCTGCCTTGGAGTAAATTACTCAAGTGCACTTGTTTGTGTGCCAGTGTGTTCATGGCAATGTGCTGTATCTGAAAGGGCTAAGTGGAACTTGACGCATTAGCATGGCTGTCATGAAAAGGTAGTTTTTCAGAAAATCCTACTCTCCAAATTTGTTAACACTTTTGAGAAATAATCCATTCAATCATTTTTACAATGAATACAAGCACCAATTTCAAATGCAAAATCATGCATCTACGATGCTGTTTTTCCTGTTCTAAATAAACTAACATTCACATTTATGAGAAAAGATTCCTTTTTAGCTACTTAATCTGCTACATTTATAGTTCACAGATGGAAAGTTACGCTGACAACATCAAAAATTCAAAAGAAAATGACCTCCGGCAAAGGTCAAACCTACTCGGCTGGTCTCGCTTTCATCTGTGTTTCTTGTGAAGGCAGGTTTTGCTTTCAGGCTGAACAGAATGGAAGCACTAAGTCTATCCCATGAGTGAAATGCTGACAAACGGCTGATGATAAGCATCTAGAACTGTGCTGCCCAAGAACCGCAGCCAGTAGCTACGCGTGGCTATTACCTTTAAACTGACTAAAATTAAATAATATTAAAAATTTATATCCTCACAACCACATCATCACCACATTTCAACTTTTTTTTGAGACAGAGTCCCACTTTGTTGCTCCCAGTAGAGTGCCATGATAAGATATACCTCACAAGATTGTTGACTAAATTAATTAGAACATACAGCTGACCCCCGATCTCTTGTGCAGTCAAATCCATATAAAACTTGTAGGCTCCCCCAAATTTAACTACTGATAGCTTACTGTTGACCTGAGGCCCTTCTGCTAACATTAGCAGTTATTAACACGTAATTTCATAGGTTATATGTATTATATACTGTATATAGGATATAACTGGGAAATACATTTGTATTATATATACATAATACAGATTATATACATAATACAAGTGTATTATTATATATAATACAGAGAGTGCAGAGACTTTTTTCCTTTCCCATCCTAGTGCATATATACTGTACTGTACTCTTAAATCATAAGAGAAAACATGTTTATAATACTGTACTGTATTTGCTGACACTGTGAGTTTACATCATCTGCCTGGAACGGCAGTGGCAGGCCTCATCTACAGTGTGTATGAAGCAATCCAACTTTTCTTGTAATGTCGTGACTTTTCTCTGCTTCTTGGGAGAGCTTCCAGCATCACTAGTGGCACTTCGCCTGGGCCCCACAGTGTTATTTAAGGTTTATGGCATTGCACTAAACATAATCCAAATACTCAAGAGCCTCTGGACATCACTTTTTACTGCTATACTCAGTTTCCTGGAGAGATGACTGCTCACATGGAGATGATCAGCACCACATGGTGTTTTAAGCAGATGCTTACAACATCTGAGCTCACCTCAGCAGCAAAAAGAGGTGACTAAGAGATTATTACAGTATTAGCTAATTTTGATTATTTGCAGTTCTGACTTCATACTGCATCATTATGTCTGTTTAGACTTCGCTTTACTGTGAATAGTGACAGGTATAGCCTGTATTAAGGTATGTAGGTTTTGATAAACTTAAATTTTTAAAAAAAAATTTATATATGTTTTATGGTATCTACATATATTTTATAAATCTCTGACATAAGTTTTTCTTAATTTTTTTGATATTTCTAGGCTACATGGTTCATCTGCAAGTTTTTCCAAATTGTCAAAAATCTCTTGAAAACTTTCCAATATATTTACTGAAAAAAATCTGGGTATAAGTGGAGCCATGTAGTTGTTCAAGAGTTGATTGTTTTAAACATTTACACCAATATGTGATAAAGTGTATGTCTAATATATGTTAGTATTCTTCTAAATATTTGGTATTCAATTATAAATTAAATCTCAGCAAAGATGAGCTGTAGTAAAATGAAGACATATCTAGTGCAGAAAGATATAATTTAGTAAAGTAAACTAAACTCATTTGCTGAATGAACTGAAAATAAGACGGTTCTCTTCCATTGATGGTTAATTACCTCTTTTTCCTGTTAAGGCAAATTGAATGGTATTTCCTCCAACTCCACAGAAAGCATCTACAATAACGTCACATTTGAAGGACTGACTGATGCGGCCAGCAATGTGTTCAGCGATCTTCTCAGGTGTCACTGAAAACCAACCCTCTGCAAAGGAAGCATATTTCTGATATGTTCAATTTTAAGAAGCCAAGCCAAGCATAAACACGATATGCTGCTATATATTATGTATTTTTAAAAAGCTTAGGGCAGCGCCCATAGCTCAGTGGGTAGGGTGCTGGTCACATACACCAAGGTGAGAGAATCACTTAACCTAAGAGTTTGAGGATGCTGTGAGCTGTGATGCCACAGCACTTTACCCAGGGCAACAGCTAGAGACTTTGTCTCAAAAAGAAAAAAAGCTTAGTTCACCTTTACAAAAAATTATAAATTACTTAGTTCTAAAAAACATTCTAGGGCGGTGCCTATGGCCCAAAGGAGTAGGGTGCCGGCCCCATCCCATAGACCAGAGGTGGTGGGTTCAAACCCGGCCCTGGCCTAAAACTGTAAAAAAAAAAAAATTCTAGAAAGTTTGTTATAAAAAGCAGCAGTACCGTTCCTTTCCACAGAAGTAATTATCTCAATTCTTAACCTGATTCTTTTGTAATACTACACCCCAGTCTTCCCTATATCTGAATTATAACTTCAATTTTTCTGCTTGAGGCAGAAAAATCTACTACCTATAGATTATCTGCTATGTAAAATGGAAAGTCAGCTGCTCTAATTAGTTGTCACCCCACATTCTACTGAGTTTCCAAATTATTTCATTCCTAATGGAGAAGCAATGACCCAGATTTGTACTGGACATTTTGGAATTGCGTGTTTTTAAAGGATCAGAAAAAGCAAGCTGATAGCGAATGGCCACAGAGCTGCAAAATTACAGTGGGAACAGCAGAACCCTCATCATTTTCGTAAATGAGGCCCTGTGCACACTCCAGGGAAAAACATAGTACCTTCCCTCTTTCCTGGTAGAAGAAATTTATATTTTTCAGAAAGATAATTCCCAAACAAAATAATGCACTAATTTTCCTGTTCCCCCCTCTTACCAAAACTTTAAACGGCTTCTCTTTATTGGAAGAAGACGATTAACTTTTATAGAATTGCAAGTTTTTTTCCAGTTGTATTTATCTGTATAAACTCCTATGCTGTTTTTTCAATACTCATTTTGCAAATTATTAGAAGAAGTTCACAGAACTCCTGAAATTCCATCACATATGAAGACTTTCTGATTTTGATAGTTAATAAAGACCAATATTTATTTAGGTAGCCCCAATATGAAACTGAATGTTAGTCTGCAAGACTGAGTTACACAAATAAACTGTTGAAGATCACGGCAGGAAAGTGTGAGAAAGAATTCAAAGTTTCTAGTGCTATTTCATTAAATTATATCATTCTGTGCTAGATATTTCTTCCTCAGATATTCTGTTTAATAATCTATCAATTACTTTTGGTATATCTATCTAAGACGAAACTTGAATCTGAAGTTTTTTAATCTTTTTTTTTTTTTTTTTTTTTAGAGACGGAGTCTCACTTTATCGCCCTTGGTATAGTGCTGTGGCATCATAGCTCACAGCAACCTTCAACTACTGGGCTTAGGCAATTCTCCTGCCTTAGCCTCCTGAGGAGTTGGGACTATAGGTGCCCGACATAATGCCTGGCTATTTTTTGTTGCGGTTTGGCTGGTGCAGGGTTTAAACCCACCAACCCACTGGTATATGGGGCCGGCACCCTAACCACTGAGGCCTCAGGCGCCGTCCTGAATGTGAAGTTTCTAAAATACACACATCCTCAAACTGAGGGACATTCAATAATGTAACTGGCCACTGTCCCTTTGAAAACGTCAGTCATGAAAGATGAAAAAGGCTGGGAAATGATTCCAGATTAAAAGAAACTAAAGAAAAATAAAAATTAAATGTAATGCATAACCCTATGCTGGAAAAAAATATTGATAAAGGGCAAGATAATTGATTAGAGCATGGACTGTAGATTATAATACTATGTAACAATGTTAAACTGGTAAATTTATCATTATTATGCAAAAATATCCTTGTCCTTATGCTAACGTATTAAGGGATGGGGGCATGATGTATACAACTAGATCAGAAAAAAATACACATACATATGGAGACAGACACTGATGAATGGGAGAATGTTATAAATAGCTGAATCTGGCTAGGGAGGATAATAAACATTCTCTCTAACACTCTTGCACATTTTTGCAAGTTTAAAATAAAGTTAAAGAATACATACATACTTTACCTCTGTCCAATTTAATCCCATCATCAAAACGGGAAAAGAGCCTGTATCTCTGGGCCCAGTATTTTACTAGTTCAGGAACGGAAGCTATCTCAGGAGGCAGACCATTTACCCTTCTGTTCTTCTTTTCCTTCTTCTTTTTTCTTCCAGCTAAAATAAAATACAAAGAATATAGATGCTCACTATGAAAGAACGAAAATCAGGTAGGTGCATTTATTTAAATGTGCAGCTACACTAAATAATTACAACTAGAACACGTATGTGATGACAGAGAGAAACAGTAAGGCTTCGTGGAAACACAACTGGCTTTAATCACATTCTGCTGACTCACTGGCTTTGTAAGCTTGGAAAAATAAACTCCAAATACTGAGGATGAATGAATGAGCCATCTAATGAGTAGTATATTTCACTAACTGTTCACAGCGTTGATGATATGTAGAAGCATTATTATGGACATCAAATTATTACTTTTGTTAGCATAGACACTTCTCTAGTTGAATTACAGAAATCAAACATTTCCCTTCACTTCTTTTTTTTTTAGAGACAGAGTTTCGCTTTGTCACCCTCAGTAGAGTGCCATAGCATCACAGCTCACAGCAACCTCCAGCTCTTGGGCTTAGGCGATTCTCTTGCTTCAGCCTCCCGAGTAGCTGGGACTACAGGTGCCTGCCACAATACCTGGCTATTTTTTTGTTGCAGTTTCGCAGGAGCCAGGTTTGAACCCACCACCCTTGGTATATGGGGCCAGCGCCTTACCCACTGAGCCACAGGCGCCGCCCTCCCTTCACTTCTTTAAAACAAAATATCCTAAGGACAATCCTAGAAGTCAGAAGGAATCTGAGAAATTCAAACAGGGGCCACTAGCTCGGATCCAGAGAAAAGGATCTCATCCCTTTTTCTTAGATAAATGATTTGTATTAGTTTGGTTGTTTTCAGTCCCCAGCAAATTAGAGGCAGCAACATAGAAAGATGAGAGTTCTGTCACTGTTAAGTATAAAAACAGGTGATGGCAGACAAAGAATTAAACTCTGTCATGTTTAACATGGTCCTTAGGGACAGGACTATGTCTTAATATTATCTGATCATTGCAAATGGTGAACAGTGTCATCATGATTCAGTAAGATGAGATTCCTCCCCTCCACTCTCCCAAAAGTGTCATCAATAGCAAAATATTTTGATGGTGTTTATCAACAGTGGGGATGATGACATTTTGATGGGACAATTACTTGTTGTGTAAGACCATCTTGTATATGACCAAACATTAAGTAACTTGAGTACTAAATGCCAGAATTTTTAGCCAGGTGTTGTGTGTGCCTGTAGTCCCAGCTACTTGGGAGGCTGAAGCAAGAGGATAGCTTAAGCCCAAGAGTTTGAGGTTGCTGTGAGCTGTGATGCCATGGCACCTACCAAGTGTGACATAGTGAGACTCTGTTTCAAAAAAAAAAAAAAAATAAGGTAAGCTGTTCAGAAAAGCAAAGAAATAGGTGATACAAAGATCACAGGCACGTACTCACACACCTGTACAAAGAAAAAAAAATCAAGACCCAAGCAAGATATTTTCCTGAATACTAAATTAAGAAAGAAATGATTTATCAAAAAATTGAATATTATATCAAAGGAAAATTTCTACCTTGGGGCTGGGTGTGGTGGCTTACGCCTGTAATCCCAGTACTCTGAGAAGGCAAGGCAGGTGGATTGCTAGAGCTCAGGAGTTCAAGACCAGCCTGAGCAAGAGCAAGACCCCATCTCTACTAAAAACAGAAAAACTAGCCATTATATCAGGCATCTGTAGTTCCAGCTACTTGTGAAGCTGATGTAAGAGGCTTTATTAACCCAGGGGTTTGAGATTGCTGTGAGCTATAACACCAAGAGACTCTTACCAGGGTAACAGAGAGAGATTCTGTCTCAGAGAAAAAAAAAAAAAAAAAAAAAAAAGAAAAGAAAACTTCTAGGCTGGGCATGGTGGCTCACGCCTGTAATTTTAGGAGTTGGAGACCAGCCTGAGCCAAAGCAATACCTTGTTTCTAAAAATAACTAGGCACTGGGGTGGGTGCTATAGTCCTAGCTACTTGGGAGGCTGAGGCAAGAGAACTGCTTGAGCCCAAGAGTTGTTTTTTTTTTTTTTTTTGAGACAGAGTCACAAGCTGTTGCCTTGGGTAGAGTGCTGTGGCATAACTCTTGGGCTTAAGTGATTCTCTTGCCTCAGCCTCCCAGGTAGCTGGGACTACAGGCACCTGCTACAATGCCCAGCTATTTTCTGGTTGCAGTTGTCATTGTTGCTTAGCAGGCCTGGGCTGGGTTCAAACCTGCCACCCTAGGTGTATGTGGCTGGCACCCTGCTGACTAAGCTACAGGCACTGCCTTGAGCCCAAGAGTTTGAGGTTGCTGTGAGCTGTGACGCCAGGGTACTCTACCAAGGGCGAGAAAGTAAGACTGTCTCCAAAAAAAAAGAAAAAAAGAAAATTTCTACCTTATAAAAGCCTTAATATTCTATTGAACATATTATTATTTTTTTTTTTGGAGACAGAGCCTCAAGCTGTCCCCCTGGGTAGAGTGGCGTGGCGTCACAGCTCACAGCAACCTCCAACTTCTGGGCTCAAGTGAGTCTCCTGCCTCAGCTTCCCAAGTAGCTGGGACCACAGGTGCCCACCATAACGCCCGGCTATTTTTTGGTTGCAGCCATCATTGTTGTTGGATCTGAACCCACCACTTTAGGTGTATATGGCTGGTGCCTTAGCCACTTGAGCCACAGGTGCCGAGCCTGAACACATTATTTTTAATCATAAAATAACTTTTGCTATAAGAAATTCAAATAATACAAAAGTACATAAAGTGTAAAGTGTCATTCAGTTCTCTATTAATTAGACAAACTACTATGAATGCTTTCTTACATTAGTGTACCATAAAAAACAAAACAAAACAAAAAACAAACTACCATCAACCACCACAAACAAACACTATCAAAAAGAAAACCAGAGATGGCTGGGTACAGTGGCTCATGCTTATAATCCTAGCTCTCTAGGAGGCCCAGGTGGGTGGAATGCCTGAGCTCAGGAGTTCAAGACCAGCCTGAGCAAGAGTGTGACACCCCATCTTTACTAAAGATAGAAACACTAGCCAGTGCCTGTAGTCCCAATACTTGGGAGGCTAAGGCAAGAGGACTGCTTAAGCCCAGGAGTTTGAGGTTGGACTCTGACACCAGGGCACTCTACCCAGGGTGACAAAGTGAGCGTCTGTCACTCAAAAAAAAGATGGTGGTCCTCAGACACAGTGTTTTCACAGGTCTTCCCTGGTGCTAAATCACAGCCACTTAAAATAGAACAGTATACTTACTATGCCTTCTCTCCACTTAAAATAAGTAGCAGTGATCTGGTAGGTACAGAGGATGCACATGTGAAAACCAAGATGTTAAAAACTGTCTTTATCTAAATCCATCAGTGAGTGAAAGCCTGTTAGTCTTACCTTCAGCTGTCTGAAGAGAGGCTGCTGGGTCTCGAGTGACACAATCCTTCTCCTCTGGGACAGCGGCCCCCAAGCTAGCGCCTTCATTTATTTCTGTTTCAAGTTCACCAGCTGAAGAGGTAGCCTGACACCTCTCTGGTTCTGGATTACTAGTCTCCAGTGGGTCACCACCCTTTTTAACAGACACGTCTTGTTCCTCTGAATTACCGCTTGTGCAAGTATCTTCCACATTGTCGTGAGAAAATGATTCCTGCGATGCCTCTTCATCCACTGGTTCATTAACCCACATTAGAAATTTTTCTACCTTGAATTTTAAGGAGACATCGTGAGCAGGAATTAATTATAAACTGCACAGAATCATCCCATCTTTCACCACTGGGGACTGGACAGACAAGCTGTGTCGTAATTATTAGCTCTGTATTACATGAGCTAAAATAAGAAATTTTGACTAGAATTTATTATCTGGGCATGCCATGGACTTATTAAAGATTTCTTAAAAGGGAAAAAATATCAGGTAAACTTTTCTGTTATTAATTAACAGGAAGAGGACAAAGCCAAACTGCCCCAGTAGCTTTCCATAAGTGCTCGTAATAATGTAACTGCTATGTGATACTATCACAAATGCACCTATTGATTGCTGAATCATTCATTTTAGTTTTTCAATTTTTTTTTTAGAGATAGAATCTCACTTTGTCACCCTCGGTTGTCATCCTTGGTAGAGTGCTGAGGCATCACAGCTCACAGCAACCTCCAGTTCTTGGGCTTAGGTGATTCTCTTGCCTCAGCCTCCTGAGTAGCTGGGACTACAGGTGCCCACCACAAAGCCCAACTATTTTTTTTTGCTGCAGTTTGGCCAGGGCCAGGTTTGAACCCACCACCCTCAGTATATGGGGCCAGTGCCAACTCACTGAGCCATAGGCACTGCCCTTAGTTTTTCAAATTATACAGAGCTTTCTACAACAGCCAGGCTACAATCTATATTAAATGTTACTAAGCATCAAAGATGAACTCTGAAAAGATTAGTGGCTATTTTAATCTATATGAATAAAACAGTGCTACCTTTGAAAGAATGAGAGCTGCCTTTAATTGAAGAGTGGAGCCAGTAGGGTAAGTTCTAACAAACTAGGTATATTCTTAGAAAAGCTAACAAGGGTCATGGTGAGATGATACACTTCTTTGCATCTTTCACAATGGGACTATGCTTTATGACCTCCCTAAGAGTGAGTGATTAGAACAAAAGTGGCAGACATACGGTAGCCGACAACCTAGACTCTTCCTGAGGGAAATGAGCCTATGCACTAGGGGACACCTAAGGACACGGCAGCCCCAGTTCTGTTTTCCTCAGCGATGCTTAGCAGCTGTCCTTCTGCTCCAGCTGTAGATGAATGTATGGGGCTACCACACACAACACATTATGGAAAGTCCTACAGGAATGATTGGACTGGTACTAGGCAGTCTATTTCAAAATTAACCAGGACCACAGTTATTAAAGTATCACTGGCGGCCAACCTGGAATATAATTAAAAACAATCCCTTTTGGCTCGGCACCTGTGGCTCAAGTGGCTAAGGCACCAGCCACCTGCTACCTAAGGTGGCAGGTTCGAATCCAGCCCGGGCCGGCCAAACAATGACAGCTGCAACCAAAAAATAGCCAGGCATTGTGGCAGGCGCCTCTGGTCCCAGCTACTTGGGAGGCTGAGGCAGGAGACTCGCTTGAGCCCAGGAGTTGGAGGTTGCTGTGAGCTGTGATGCCACAGCACTCTACCCAGGGGGACAGCTAGAGGCTCTGTCTCAACCCCCCTCAAAACAAAAAAAACCAATCCCTTTGCCTCAGACTATAACGTCCAGCTATTTCTTTTTCTTTAGAGGCAGAGTCTCATTCTTGCTCAGGCTGGTCTTGAACTCGATTGCTCAGGAGATCCACCTGCCTCAGCCTCCCAGAGTGCGGGGATTACAGGCATGAGCCACTGCGTTTGGTCCAATCTTCTAATTACTTTTACTTCCAAGGTACTTGGGACAGAAGGTACAGCTAAGTCCAAGAGAGGGGATATGAATATTCCAGTTAACAGTATCAATCAACAAATTGCCCTGTGCTTCATGCTATTAGGGCAAACCTATCATCTCATGATGGAGCATCTCTGGATGAGCACAGAAGTAAGGGTTATAACATTAAGACTTAATCCTACTTAGCCTGAAATAAAAGGGAAATTCCTCCTTCTTGTCTGTTACAAAACAGGCAGGATAATTTACTTATTTATCTTCCTGACACCAAACACTCCCTTTTCACATTACCTCAACTTGTTTTTTTCATATTTAGATTATACAAGACAAGCCTTCAGGATGCACCCTTACATTCGGTAGAAACTGGCTTCCCAATTAAGTACAACTGTAAAGAGTCAAGCTTATAAGGTATGATCTGAGTAGGAAATGGAGTCGTACATACCTTACTCAGAGCTTTGCTTTTCTTGAAAAATGGTTTTTCTGACTCTTCAGTAAAGAAGATGTGTTTGTTTTTCATCTTTATTTGCTTGCGCATGTCCAGGTACTTGGACTTACGCTTCACGTTCTTCTCCAGATACCTGACCTGCCGATGACTGAAATTTGGAATTCCACCATATCTGTGACCAAACCAAAACACGCCTTAAGTTCTAAGAATATGTTTCCTTATAGGAAAAGAAACTAACAATTTTCACTACCAGTTTTTGCAAATAGAACTCACCATTTAAATTTATTTTTTTGTAATGAGATGGGGTTTTGCTGTATTGCCCAGGCTGGTTTCTAACTCCTAGCCTCAAGTGATCCTCCCACCCTGGCCCTCTGAAGTGTTAGAATTACAGGTGTGAGCCACTGTGCCCAGCCTTCTTCTTTTCTTAAATTATGAGAACAAAATCAAGTTCAAATAGCTTTTATGTTAATTCTAAAGCAAATGTGAAACACTGAAGTTGGGAATAGCAACATATCTAATATTGAGCAGCAAGGAGAAATTATATAATAGACTGCAATAAAGATACAGCTAAAAACCTATCCCCTAGTAAAGGAAAGATAAATTTTCTTAACAGTCACGTGTCAATGTGGGGGAGGCATCAGTGACAGTTTGTTTTTACACGTCACTAACCCCCCTCATTGGCTTGTGACTGTGTCAAGGCGGGGTGCTGCCAAAGCTCTTTAACACATATCTGCATGTGTTCAAATTATCCTAAGAGTAGTAAATAAATTCTTAACCTAAATCAATTTAAGCTTACAAAAGAAACAAACCCTAATCATTAAAATGATTACAGAATGTCTGGTCTAACCACCTGAATTTTTCTAATCTTAAAAAAAATAAGTATCTGCTTTGAAGTCTCCTTTAATTGTATTAAGCCTAACTCCCTCTCCTACAAACTGTTAGGAACTTCAGAGTGTAACATACACTTTAACATTTATAAAATCCAGGACAGTTTGGTTTTTGTATGTTATTCTTTTATAAGTAGAAATGGGTGCTCTAAATAGAGAAATAGCTACGTTAAATCCCAGGCCAAAAAAGGTAGTAGTCTCTATGAGTGCACACTAACAAAAGCTACCTAATATTTTCAATAAAATTATATGTGTGTAGTAGTAAACTCTTCCAGGAATTTATTTTGTGTTTTTTTTTTTTT